TCTTTGTTTCAGAAATTTTAAATGTGATTTACTCATTGCCCTTTCCATTTTTGGTTCTTTGTTTTAGGTTCGAAGTTAGGGTCTCTCGTATAACAATTTGACTTTCATGTACAACTTGGGTGCCAGAGGCACATTTTCTCTGTTGTTCCCCAGTCTCTGGGCTTCCTGCTTCCTTGGGGCTTGTTCAGTTGAGTTTCTTCCTTTCTCCTTCTCCAAACTGCCGAGTGGAAGAAATAGCCCACAAGGATAGTAGCCGTCCAAGCCTCACCCTCCTACTATCTACAGGTGATTCAGAGGATACAGAACTTCACTTCTGGAGAGACCGCACATTTCCAGGCCAAGAAGACTTTTCAATTTAAACAAACCCACAGTAGCAGCTTAGGCTGCTTGCCTAAATTTTTGTTGAGTTTCTCTTCATAGGAAAATCCCCCAAATCACTAAAAATGACTTGACTTAAAAAATAAATAAATGATAATGGGGATATCGGAAACATTTTTTTTTTTAGCAAATTTGATATTGTGTTCTACCTGTTCTTCCTCTGTTGTTGTTGTTGTTCCTCCTCCTCCTCCTCCTCCTCCTCCTCCTCTTCGTCCTCCTTGATGTTAACACTTCCCACCAGTCGGCTCTGATTAATAAAGTACAGAGCAGATGCTTGAGGGTAGCCATGCATGTTAACTTTTGATGCCCTGGAAAGAGTTGCTAATTTAGGAAGGAAACACATTTATATAAATTTTCAGGAATTAGAGAAAGAAAGAACTCTTCTTATGGAAGATGTAACCGCGAACAAAAGGAGGATGAAGGAACTAGAAGACAATTTGCTTTGCCGCCTGACCAGTACGCAGGGGTCCCTGGTGGAAGACGAGAGTCTCATCGTTGTGCTGAGTAACACCAAAAAGACAGCTGAGGAGGTGACCCAGAAGCTGGAAATTTCTGCTGAGACAGAAATTCAAATTAACTCAGCACGGGAGGAATACAGACCTGGTGAGTCCGATAATGAAAGACAAATGTCACAGGAAAGCGCATCGAGAAAGAAATGAGAATTAATGGAAATTGAACAAAGCGAGAAGTTGTACAAATGGCTGCGCGAAGCCAGGTGGCCAATTATGTTTTGGGGATTTCTCTCGGGAATGTCAGCAAATTTGAGATGAAAAAAAAAATTATATAATGGTGTAAAGTTTCTGGATGCTTATAATTCACGTTTGTTGACAAGTCCTTTAAGGTTCTCATGAACATATGCTTAATTTAGAAAAGAAAAGAAGAAAAGAAGGAGGTTTATTTGAAACATCTGATTGCAAGTTCGTGCCATCAGAGGAGTTAGTGTGGCATGTGGACCATTGCTTATCATTTGATGATGATATGCCAGGGTTTTGTTTAGAGGCTTTGTCTTAGGAAGATGGTTCTCTGGTGCTCATCCTCAGTCACCTAAATGCAACAGGTGCTTACTGGTTATTCCCGGAATCCACTCTAAGTATTCAATGGGCTCTCCTTTAGTAAACTAACATTGTGCCTGGAAAAGAATGAAGCAATATTACTTCATCTGCTGGTGGAGAGTCAGGAGCATCATCTTCATGGTGTCCTGTTTGGCAAACTTGAGGCCGAGGTTAGGCACGGACTCTTCATGGGCATCAGAATGAGGTCCTAAATGGCTGCCCCACCTGCTGGGTGTTAGATATAAAACCTTTGACTCCTTTTGGTTGTCTTTTTCACCTGTGCAAAATATATTTGTAACAGATTCTAGAAGGAAAACTAACGATTGATTAATGCAAATAGGAGACTGTTTATCCATAGCTGGTCAGTTAGAATTAGATGTAGTTAAACATCAGCATTCTAGATGTTCTAGATCCCATTTCTAAGAGGCAGCCACTGACAAGACAGAAGGTTGCGAGTTGTCGTTTTCGTTAGAGTTCAGGCTGATCTGTGTGCACGCTCATTTGTTTTCCACTCATGTAGCTAGCGCACGCATCCCCGCTCTTTGTCTTTCAGTTGCTACGCGGGGCAGCATCCTCTACTTCCTCATCACCGAGATGCGCTTGGTTAATGAGATGTATCAGACTTCGCTCCGCCAGTTTCTAGGCTTGTTTGACCTTTCCTTGGCCAGGTATGTCTGTAGCTCAGGAAGCCACGCTGAATTCTTTATCTGTAGACTAGAATAATGACATTACGTGAAGAACTTCCTTTTTCTTTGTAAGAGTCCATTTCTTCTTCTTTTTTTTTAATCTAACATTAATTACCAGTGTGCTCACAAATCATTCTGATTTGTCAGTTTACGCGCAGAGAAAGCTATATCTACTATTCATCCGTTGACTGGACTCCTTTGGTTTCACATGTTTCTATCAAACAACAACAAAAAAATTCCCAGGACGTTGTAGTGGGTGATCAGGCCCTGCAGGTAAAATTGATTTGGACAACATGGAGGATTCTGTTATGTTGTTTCATGTTGAGAGAAAGCTTGTTATTTTAGATTCAGGAGGCTTACTCAGTGTGTGAAAATGGGAATTGGTCCTCCAGAATTACTTATTCTCCATTAAAGATGCTGTTTTTATAGGCAATTGAACAAGGCAGTGGGGATAAGCCTGATTTGAATGCTGTCTTCCTCAGGTCTGTCAAGAGCCCCATTACGAGCAAGCGGATTGCTAATATCATCGAGCACATGACCTACGAGGTTTACAAGTACGCTGCCCGCGGGCTGTATGAGGAGCACAAATTCCTGTTTACCTTGTTGCTGACACTGAAGATCGACATCCAGAGGAACCGAGTGAAGCATGAAGAGTTTCTCACTCTTATTAAAGGTCAGGAGAAAGTATCGTACACAGGCGCACATGTCAGCATTCATGTGAAGGCCCTTTTGCAGTATTATCATGATGACTTTGGTTGTAACAGTTTCCTTGTATTTCACTTAAGATGCATTTGTGTGAGATATTTTATTTATTCACTTATGGAATGAATGATGAATATTTGTTGAAGACCTATGGCGTGCCAGGCCATGGAATAGGTATTTGAGACATATTAATGAACCAAACTGCTGGTAGGTGTGTATATATATATATATTTGGGGAAAATACAGAAAATATAATGGAATAATAAGTAAATTATGGCTTATGTAGGAAGATAGTATTATGCAAAAACAGCAAGAAAGGGGAGAAGGAGAGTTCTAGGGAAGGGAAGGGTAGGGAAGATTTAAAACTTTTAATGGGTTATTTAATGGTGTCTTTTAGAGGTCAGGCCTTCCTTAGAGACTGGCAGGTGATCAAAGATCGGAAAGAGCGAGGACACCATCCATAGGGACATGTAGAGGAAGAGTGTCGAAGGCGGGAGACGGCTGTACGCACCTCCTGTGGTCGTCAGTGACAGAGATAAAGCAAAGTGACCAGGGTCACCGGAGCAGAGTGGGCAAGGCCGTGGCAGCTCCCTCTCAGGGACTGCTTATTCTGCATCTATTGAAGCATTGCTCACAGGCGGGTCCTTTGGGCCACTGGAGCAATGCAGCTGAACGAAAGACTGGGAGATGCAGATTCACAATCGTGTTTTTGGATTTCTGAAAAGATATTTAAAGTAACCATGTGTCTTAGTTCAGGCTGCTATGACAAATTACCACAGACGAGGTGGATTCTAAACAACAGAGATTTATTTCTCACAGCTCTGGAGGCTGGACGTGCAAGACCACAGTGCAGCAAGGTCCGGTCTGGTGAGGGCTCTCCTCTGGATTGCAGCTGGCCGACGTCTCACTGCAGCCTCTCATGGCAGAGGAAGTGAGCTCTCTTGTGACTCTCCCCAGAGCACGAAACTCATTAATGTCATCTAATCGTAATCACCTCCATCAGACCCTCCTTCTAATACCATTACTATTAGGATTTCAAGGCATGAATTTTGAGGGGGACACAAGGGTTCAGAACAATGCACTCTCTAAATGTATTTTAAATAATTTAAGATCCTTGCATAGACAGTTCACATTATCAGGCAGCTCTCGCCAAACTCTTAAAAGATTTACAACATAAACTTCCCGAAGTTTCCACCAAAACTACAAAGCAGTATACTGATAGCTTACAAATGCCAAAGGCATACAGAAACTAGTCCAACCTCTGGAAGTATCTATATTCACCCAAATACAGTAAACTGCTGAAGATGTTACAGTAATACCTATAATTTGCAGAGCATAACATATGTGCTAGGATTCATAGGAATTATGTGAATTCTTAGCAATTCTATTATGCATATCTTATTGTCCTTATTTTATAGATGTGGGAACTGAATCTTAAGAAGGTTAAATGATGTGGCTAAGACTATGTATCAAGAAAATGGCAAAGCCTGCCTTTTAACTGGCATTGGGATCAGGTGCCTTTGGGATTAGGTCTTGGGGGCAAAGTCCTCTTTGATGTGATTTATGCCCTCATTGAAAAACAGCTTAAGAGAGGCCTCACCCCAATGTGAGGTTGCACTGAGAATATGACTATGAATCAGAAAGCAAGCCCAAAGCACATACCAGATCTGCTGGTGTGTTGATCTTGGACTTCCCATTTTTCCATAACCATGTTGTTTGTCAGTAGAGTCCCTCCCAGCATATCATATTCTATGATAGCAGCCCAGATGGGCTAGGACACATAGCCACAGTGTTCTGCTGCTGGTCTCTGATTAATCTCTAAGATGGCAAAGGATAAATGTAAGTGACTTTCTAAACTTGCCTTAGCTACTACAGTGCATAATTGTGTAACTTGACTTCTGTAAGTCTTTCATTATAAATGTGTCATAATTTATTTACAAAGTATTATGGTGAAAACCCAAAGTTACTTTTCTTCTCAGAGCATGAATTTAAGGAGTGAAGGGAACAGTACCAGTCTCAGTTAGCTCTGGTATTCTGAATGAGTCCTCTGTCAGCTGTTTGTTCATCAAGAGTCTGTTTGATCGGGTGCTCCGCTACGCAGGACTGAATCTCCTCCTTCAAGATACAACCATTCCCTTTCCCCTTCGGGTGCTTTTGGGGCAGGCAAAATCTTTACCACATAATTGCCTTCTGCAAAACACTGAATAATGCTTTGGCCTGCAAGGAACAGCCTTTCAATAGGCTTTTCCTAACCTATATTATTCTTTTCATTTTTTGGAAAGTGGGCAGTTGCCATGGAAATCAGTGTGATATTTGTTCAACACAATGCCATTGTCATTAGGTCTTAAACTGCTCCTTGGAGTTAAAACAATGTCTCATTTTATGAGTTAACGTTTCCATGGAAATGGCTTCAAGGCCACACTTATTTGTTGTAAATACACAAAAACGAATTTGGCAAAAGATAACAATTTAGTGGTGTACATGGTACCTGGATAAAGTAGAGAGGGGTTCAGGGTTCAGTAAGTATATTAAGTATTATTTGTTTACAACCTATTCTCTCCAGAAAAGGGCTTTACAGGAAGTCAGCTAGATTGGTTATATTCTTGTAAGAAAAATGCTTAGAATGTATTTTCCTGAAAATACTTTCATGAATGTTATTTGTTAATCACTGTATTTTATGCTGTAGATTACTTCCTAATGCTTCGTTTAATTTAAAATATGATTGTTCACACATTGAGTTCTCCTGAAGTGGGCAATCTTAACATTTTTAAGGTTTCATTTTTCTTGTGTTGCTGTGTTAATGATAGGAGGTACATGAGCTTAGGTAGATCATCAGTAAATGTGGGCGTCAGTACCAAATGGAAATTTTTGTTGTGCTTCCATTGATTAAACCTTAGTGATTCAGCAGAGTCCCTGGGATGTGCTCAAAATGGGCATAACTAATGTACTTGTTTATGAAAGAGAATTCTTTAAACATATGTAGTGCTACCGACATTTCTAGATAAATCCTGGATTTAAAATTAGCTTGCACTAGCACTAGGCCATTCTTGGTATTAACAAAAGATGCTCATTTAGTGACCTCTACCATGTCCTCAGTCCCAGGTATGTGCTTTCCATTTATCTCATGATACCCAGGCTTGTTATTTCCAATTTGGAAACTGAGGCCCAGATAGATGAAATGACTTACTTGTCCTGCATCTTGCCCAGGTGGAACTTGGATAGAATCTAGCATCTGTCTTGTTCCAAAGCTATATTACTGACTATTAAATGAATTTTTCTAAAATCAACTGTTCATTTATTACATTTTAAGCATGTTTTTTTATTATGATTTCTATTTCTGTACTTAATAAGTATGAAGGTAGTAAAATAACAAATTAAAATATTCTAATGAAAATTTTATTAAATAGATTGTTTTACAGTAAAAGAACAATCTCTGAACTTTTTACATCTCATTTGAAGGTGGTGCCTCACTGGATCTTAAGGCATGTCCTCCCAAACCATCCAAATGGATCCTGGACATGACTTGGCTGAATTTGGTGGAACTCAGCAAGCTTAGACAGTTCTCAGACATCCTTGATCAGGTAATTTGTTCTTTGAATAGACTTAAGCGAATGTCATGGTGAACAACTTTCTGATTTATCCCTAGCTGCAATGTTTGTGGAGGAGAGAAGTTTCTTAATATTGTCAATCTCAGCTGGTATTGCACGTGCTTGACCTTCGTTGCGGCTCATCCACACTCCGAGAAAGCAAACTGCATACGTTGCAGACTGGTCCTGCAGGGGAAATGGGCCCAGGAAGTTCAACTAGTGCTGTCTTGGGGCATGTGTTGGAATCACCAGTTGAAGTTCTACAAGTAGAAAGATGATATATTCAATCAGACTAAATAATTACCCATACTTAAAGTCTTTGTTTCTTTGTAGAGATTAAATGAAAAGAAATATGAAGAACCTGCCACTGGATACTAAATTTTCCTTTCTTGCCTTTTTTCACTTTCCCTCTTCTTCTTCTTCCTCTCTTGATTCTCCTATTACTCTCCCTTGGTTTGACACTGGATGTGAACCTCATGCAAACACTTGGCCTCTTACCTTGAGCAGTGATTGTTCTTCCAAAATCATTTAGTTCCTGAGGTGTTGTGTGTGTGTTGGAATAATGGAAGTTGGGTATTGAAAGTTGAATTGGGACAAGCCAAGAAGCAAATTTTTGAATATCAGGTGACCACAGAGAAGTGGGATTGGCAGCAAGGTGGCTTTATTCAGCTTCAAGTAGCATTAAGAGTTTTTGTTGACCAGAAAATATCTTCAGGTTGGTTCTTGACCTTCCCAGTTCAAGTTAACCAAATGTTTAAGTTCTGGCATATTTTATGTTTTAGCTGGTGATGTTGTTATTACTACCTTGTAGGTGGGGTGAAAACCATTCTTTTGAATTAGATAACGTTGTGAGGTATGAATGCACTCTTGCTTTTTTCCTTTGTGGAATGACCCCCAATGACCTTTCCTGGGTCATGGTCTGCCATTGAAGTTGCTACCTCCTGGAGATTGTATCTTATGCCTGAAATCCTTCCACATTGTATGGATTTTAATGGTTGAAAGAAGTTATTTTATATTCTTTTTTAAATTTTTTTATTGGTTGTTCAAAACATTACAAAGCTCTTGACATATCATATTTCATACATAAGCTTCAAGTGAGTTATGAACTCCCATTTTTACCCCAAACACAGATTGCAGAATCACATCGGTTACACATCCACATTTTTACATAATGCCATACTAGTAACTGTTGTATTCTGCTACCTTTCCTATCCTCTACCATCCCCCATCCCCTCCCCTCCCATCTTCTCTCTCTACCCCATCTACTGTAATTCATTTCTCTCCTTGTTTATTTTCCCATTCTCCTCACAACATCTTATATGTAATTTTGTATAACAATGAGGGTCTCCCTCCATTTCCATGCAATTCCCCTTTTCTCTCCCTTTCCCTCCCACTTCATGTCTCTGTTTATTGTTAATCTTTTCTTCCTGCTCTTCCTCCCTGCTCTATTCTTAGTTGCTCTCATTATATCAAAGAAGACATTTGGTATTTGTTTTTTAGGGATTGGCTAGCTTCACTAAGCATAATCTGCTCTAGTGCCATCCATTTCCCTGCGAATTCCATAATTTTGTCATTTTTTAGTGCTGTGTAATACTCCATGGTGTATAGATGCCACATTTTTTTAATCCATTCATCCATTGAAGGGCATCTGGGTTGGTTCCACAGTCTTGCTATTGTGAATTGTGCTGTTATGAACATTGATGTGGCAGTATCCCTGTAGTATGCTCTTTTAAGGTCTTCAGGGAATAGTCCGAGAAGGGCAATAGCTGGGTCAAATGGTGGTTCCATTCCCAGCTTTCCCAGGAATCTCCATACTGCTTTTCAAAGTGGCCGAACCAATTTGCAGTCCCACCAGCAATGTACAAGAGTACCCTTTCCCCCACATCCTCTCCAGCAGTTATTTTATATTCTAACACCATGCTTTCTAAATATAAATTTAGAATGTTATTTATCCCCTTTGATTGGGCCACAAAGGAAATATACTAAAACTCATAAGATTATGTTTATCTTTAGATGTTGTTTGTTCAATGTTTTTGATTTGCTTCCTCCGTAAAGCTTTTGTCTCTTTGGTTTCTGAACTCCGGGGAAAATGCAATATGTCCTTTTACTCTTTACCAAATAACCTAAAGGTAGCAGGTGTTTGATCATTCATTTGACAGTGGGATTAAATGTGACACCTCAACTTATCTCACATTAGAAGAGTATTGACTATAAACCTATTTATTCAATAGTAAACATGTATTAATGTGTCTGGAGTGGTTCTGGAAGTAAGGATACATCAGTGAATAAGGTATGATTCCTGAACATGTGAGTATTTTGTGGAGCAAATTAGACTCTTTGTAATAGTTAAAATGAATCTTCATTTATTTCTTTATTCATTATAAATTTGTAACCATAAAGACATAAAAGAAATTGAGACTCCTAGGACTCTCCCTACTTTGGAAGCTAGCTGTTGGCTGGTGTTAATATGTAGAGTGGCTTTGGAGCTAATTACATTGGATTTTTGGACTGTGTTAGACTTTTTGGCACTAAAATATAAAATAAAAAATTAGTAAAGGAATATGGTTCACACATGTCTAGAATGTTCAGAAGGTTTGATGAAAAAGATCTGAACTACTTCTCAAAGATTTTTTTGAGTGATGTGACACATTTCTTATCCCATGGTATTTCTTCAGATATCAAGAAATGAGAAAATGTGGAAAACTTGGTTTGATAAGGAAAATCCTGAGGAGGAACCTCTTCCTAATGCCTATGATAAATCTCTTGACTGCTTCAGACGTCTTCTCCTTATTCGGTCCTGGTGTCCGGACAGAACCATTGCCCAGGTAAAAAGTGTGTCTGAACAGGAAACAGAAGAAATGTTTTAAAGGAGAAATTCCCTTTAAACTCAAAGAAATATTTTAAATGTTATTGAGTAAGAATTTCCTTGTGGCCATCTAAGTAATTTTCTAGCAACACGAATGTGAAAAATGGAAGTGAACCACATACAGATGAGCCAAGGGGTATTTTTTGGCTGAGTGATTTATTAACCTCTTTTGGTCCAAGAAGTTCAATGAAAGTAAAAGAGCAAAACCATGATTCTAAGCTTGGCGTGTGGGCATAAAATAAAGGGAGTGCGTTATTCTTGTGGACCATTTTACTGTAACTCAGAAGTGATATGGGTGCTCTGTTCTGCTCGTGGTAAGTCAGTGTTGTTTAAGCAGGAAGAATGCAGAGGCATCGAGGAAGAGGGTGTCTAGAGGGAAGGACAGAGCTTCCCAGCTTGTAGTCACTTCCCCAGAAAAATGTCAAACTCCAAATGTTAGAAAGAAAGGTGTACTAAAACTGTTCAAAGTTTCCATGTGATGTAAGTGTGACTCTTGCCTCCAAAAGATACATCTTTTTCACGACCTTTGATCCGTTGGCTTAGTATCATGGTGATTTGCCACTAAAAAGACTTGGGTCTTGCTTTCACCAATAAAAGTTCAGTATTGAGCATAGGTTGACCCCTCAAGGACTTCTCTGGAAAAGCCGTGGAGTACTATAGACTGGAGTCTATAATAGAACACAGGGCATTTTCCCCTCCAGTCTTCAAGGGAGTGTTAAAAAGATATGGAGTGACCACCCAGGTCCACCTAGGTACCATGGAATCATGAAAACGGCTAGGTCCAATGATTTATTGAGAAAGGAAAAATGAGTTTTGCCACTCAGGGCACTGAGATCACTCATCTTTTCCGTTTTTCTTCTTCTACTTCATTACTTTTATTCTGCCCAAATGAATTGTCAAACAGTTGCCTTATTTCAGTGCAATATAGAAGAGAAGGTTCAGGTATAATAGTTTGTTTCTCTCTCTTTCTCTCTCTCTCTCTCTTCCCCCTTCCCTCCCTCCCTTCCTCTCTTCCTTCTTTCTTTCTTTTTCTTTCCCCCAGTCCCTTCCTACCTCTCTCTCTTCCTTCCTTTTTTTCCTTTTCGTTCTTCCTCTTTCTCCCTCTCCTTCTTTCTCTCTTTTCTTTTCTCATAAAAACTTTATGAGGTTCTTTGTAACTTGTCATCCTTATCTTGGCTCTGTCACCCTTGGGCTGAACACAGCCATGGCCTTCTAAGTGGTCAGCTTGGTCCCATCCTGTGTACTCTGGTCCAAACTATATATTCTGGAAGAAACGGAATGAACCTGCCATTTCTCAGCCTTTCATGTCCTTCGACGGCTTTCCATGGCTCCTATGGTAACGCTCATGTCCTAAACAAGGTCTATAGGCCCCTCTGGAAATCTGTTTTGTCCTCCTAAGATTGTATTTTCACTTTAGAGTTCTTCTTTTTAAAAAATTTCCTACCAGATGACTTCTTGGGAAGCACATTCGAAGGTCTAAAATGTAGATACATTCAATTTCCGTCCCCTATATGTGGCATCTGGCTTTTCATTGCTGCTTCTCTGCATTTCCACTGTGTGTGACTCGTTTCACATCAAGGTTTGCTCAGCCACCTGGTTGTAGGACTGCTACACTTCAGAGGGTGTCTCCTGCACACACACACACACACACACACTGGTGACTCAGATATACTCCACAAGGGGAGGCCCGGTCAGGTGAGAGGCTCACTAGTTTACTTTCTCCCCTACTCAAAGGTGAGCCTGTTTCACTGGGAACAGACACTTGAGTCAGGACATTCTTCTGAGTTGGGTGAGGAGTAACCCGCACAATGTGGCACTCTATTTCCATTCATGCCAATGAGATGCCGGCTTCTTACAGATGGGCAGGTTGTGCAGAAGCCTGGCTGCCCACACTGAATCAGTTCTTCCACAATTTATACGGACATCCTTCTGTCCCCAGATGGTGACTTGCTCTCTTCTGCCCCCAGATTCCTGTGTATCTACCCTCTGCATAGAATGCTCACCACTCTGACCCTCCTGGCTGTCTTCTTTGCCTAGGTGAATCTACCATAGCAGCTTAAGTGCTCCTTTCACAAGCAAACCTACTGAGTGTATTTTCACATCATTCTGCAGACTATAAATCCTCCAAACTAGCTTATTGGCTATTGTTGACTCAATGTTTGTGTAATGCTGGGGAGTGGCAGGCTTCTCAAAAGCCTGGTCATTTGTCTACTGTTTTGTCCTAAAATCTGTCTCTGTGCTCTGAACAGAGGGGAGGTCATGGTTTAAAGTCTATAACTGTGTAGGAGGGATGTTTGCCAGGATAGAGAGAAGCAGTAATACCTATGCTGGCCCAATGAGATAACTCAGGATGTTAAATAAAAGTTAAATGTTAAATGAAAGTTGAAGTAAGAAGAGGAAGAAAGGTCCTCCTATTGCCCGAGTTTTCTATAGTTTCAAGTCGATGCCCACTACACTAGAAACTTGTCTGGAATTGTAGAGTATTCCTATGTAACATCTTTACATCATAGATTCATTGCAACTCTTTAGACTTGAAGCCATGGCTGTGATCCTATATGAGAATGTCTCTTCTCCAGGAATAGGAATTTTGTCCTCAGAATTCAGTCATCATTCCCATTACAGGTGAGATAGCCTTCTTCATCACCTGTTCCAGGAGTTGGCAAAACAGAGCTCACTGACAAAGACTGGCCCACTATCTGTTTATGAATAGCTTGTGAATTAAGAATCATTTTTATATTTTTAAATACTTGAAAAAGTCACAAGAATAATACTTTGTGACTTGTGAAAACTGTATTCCATTTACATTTCAATATCTATAAAGATTCACTTATTTTTATTGACAAATAATAATTGTATGTATTTATGGGGTACAAGGTAATATTTCATTACTGTGCATTGTGTAATCAGGCTACAGTGTTCATTGGGACATAGCTTTGCTGATTTGCTTATAAACTCCCTATGATTGCCTGCATGCTGCAATGGAAGAATTGAAACACCTGGCCCCTGAGTATTCTAGCATGTTAGCTCATGTCTCATATGGTGCTGTTTATGTTGGGTCAGTGCTGACCTATATGGTGGTATGGGCTTTGTTGGCTCTTCATTATCCTGGGGTAACAAGCACTTGAATCTTGATGTGGTGATGGCAGGTACCTGTGGCTGAGAAACAATGTGACTCTGCCATGCCAACGTGTCCAGCTTTTGGAACCCTTCCTGACCACAGAGCTCACTGCTTCACTGATTCTGACTGAACGTGTACATAGGGCAGTTTTTTGACGAAGTCCAAGAACATGTCAGGAAAACTTTTTAAATACCTGTCAGAAGGCTGCAGAAAAATGTGTGTGCATTTAGACCCAGGTTAGAGACTTTGATACTGAATCTTGATAACCTATAAAAAATATTGAAAGGAAAGAAAATAAATGTCAACTGTGCCCCAAATTCAATTGGATTGAACTCCATCCATTTCTTCAGAACAACTCTCAACCACTAAAACTTAAGGGTGGAAAGTTGGAATGCGAGGCCACTCCTAGAGCAAGGGGCCCAGGCTCCAACTGGTCATTTCAATGTAAATGGCCTAGTTCTGCCAGCAAGTGAGGGCCCTGACTAGCACCAGGACCTTTGGGAACCAGTGGATAGCTTTTCCACAAAGTCACCAAGAGATAGTTGCCAAGTCCAAGAAAGCCGAGTCCTCTACCAAATGGACACGGCCTTTTAATCTTGCATTGATATAGCGGACTGAAGATTAATGGGAGAGATTGGGACTTCTGAAGGTGGTGGAGGGTCCCACAGAAAAATGATCTAGCTCTTTCTGAATTAGTGGCTATAGGTTTAGGAAATGGGAACACTCATTTAATCTTTTTTTTTTAATTTGCCTTCTCTTGGGGAAGATGAATATTTCATAGTAGAGCTTTTACATGTCCATAAACCAGGAGGAATCAGGAAGTAACCTCTGTGGACATTCAGCAGTTGAGACTCAGTTGGCACCTACTTCCTTTCTCTTACCAAGATACCAGAGGCATTGGGAAACCAGGAGATTCCTTTGTCATGGCCACCACCTCCCCATCTCTAACCAGTAAAGAGGGCAAACATGGTGAGGAACCTCAGATCAGTTTGGAAGCTCAGGAACTTGGGTTATGCCAATCACTTTGAAGATGAATGACAAGATATCAAAGATGAGGGAAGAGTGAGTGTATGCTACCAGATGAAATCGAACTGTGGATTCTTTTAAGCCCAAGATACAGGTTTAAACAGTCCGGCCTCCTCTTGGGTCCAGGTCTAACTGAAACCTTTTGAATTTGAGGGAAGTTCTGCTGAGTCTGTCATGTTTCACTAGGAATAGAAGTGGGGAGATTGCACGTGTCAGATTGTTTTGAGAATGGTAATGCAGGGGAATCCTATTGAGGATGGAAACCTGCATTTTGCCCACCTGAGTTGGGAGAAGATATCAGAATTGGAAAAAGAATTTCTTTGAGAGAATCCAGTTATTTCTGAAGAAAATAGAGATTAAGGGTCATATCACAATGCTATTTGTTGAAAAATAAGCAGCGTTTTTTACGTTGTTTGAAAAAGGACTATATTGTTATTGGAGATATTTTTATGGCAGATTATGAAGCGGATGAAGTCTGTTAATGTCATATTGTGAACATGGGTTTCACTGGAGGCAAAATTAATAAAAGGGATGAACCAAAACTGAATGATGAAAAGAAATATGATTGAATAAATCCTTTCATGCATTCAGTACCCAATACATTTCATGAATAAATCTAATTCATGCATTCAGTACCCAATACATTTCATTCAATACACGGTCATTCAATACTTATCTATTTGATATGTATCTATTAGATACTAGACATCATGCTATTTATTTGATTATTTAAATACATACATATATTTGTCTTATAGAATCTGAAATAATAAAGTATCCTAATATTTTTATTTCTTATGTATAGCAAGAAGCAATCTGTATTTTAATGGGCTCTGGACTAAGAGGCATTCAACTTGGGTTCTGATCTTTTAACAGATTTTTTTTTGGCAAGTGACACAACCTCTCTGCCTATAGAATGGGAATATGAACAGCAAGCAAACAAGAAAAAGAAGTCTCTGCCCTATTGCCCTGGCAGGATTACTATGGACATCTTTGAGATACTTTGAAAGTTACACTGCCTTGTGTACAGAAAGGAGTTGAAGCAATTCTTATTGACTTTGTACTGTTTTTGGCAGGCCCGAAAGTACATCATGGAATCCATGGGTCAAAACTATGCCGAAGGAGTTATCTTGGACTTGGAAAAGACATGGGAGGAATCTGACCCACGGACGCCACTCATCTGTCTCCTCTCTATGGGCTCAGACCCTACAGAGTCCATCATTGCCTTGGGGAAGAGATTGAAAATAGAAACTCGTTTCGTGTCCATGGGCCAGGGCCAGGAGGTCCACGCACGAAAGCTCTTGCAGCAGACCATGGCAAATGTAAGACCAAATATCCCGTTTAAAAAAAATTCTCAAGATTATGATGTGGGCATTGCAGATGATTTTCTACATATTCCATAGGTTAGATAATGAGGAAAAGATATTTCATTATCCTGAAGTTTGCCTGAATTGTTTTATACAAAGAATCTTTTTACACTCACAGTATAATTTATTCAAAAGATATGGCCTATTGTTTTCTACATCTTATGTTGTGAGTGGTCTGATTTCCAGGGAAGGTCCTTCCATATTTTAGAGGGTATGTGTCTGGCTGGCGGTATTCCAAGAGCACAAGGGGGAAAGGTAGGTAGCAGGTCTTGACATTCAGGAGGAAAACTTTCTTTCACCTGTTTTCAGTGTGGTTATTAGACCTTCATGTGCTGATTTCTCCAATCCAGAACCTGTTTTGCCTTCTAAATACTATAAGTGTCTCATCTTTCATTGACTTTCAATCTTCCTCTTTTCAGCCCTTCTTGCCAAACTTCCAAGAGTACCTTCTGCCACCTGCTCTTGGGGGTTTGGGGAGTTGTGTGACACAAATCAGCTTACACATCAGCTTTCCCCAAATACCAGATTAGGATTCAGCTTTCTTGAGCCTGTTTTAAACAGTATTGAGATTATTCTCTTACTGTCTTTGTCCTTAGGAGTTCAGACTTTAAAAAGTGTCCCTTCATTATAGGGTTAATGGAATTTGTAAGGGAGCTAAGTGGATGTTTTCAATCCACTGTCTTTACTTGGAAGTCCTAGATCTTTTCCTGTTTTACCTTGGTTATTGTGTGACTGTTACTTGGGTCATCACTGTGATTGGCATGGTAGTATACCATAAAATGCATATGGCGACACCACCAAAGCATATCTCAATTAAATGTTACTCTATTCTCCATATGACCTGGATTAACTTAAAGTGGTTCTTGTGCTTCTTTAGCAGATTTTAGTTATTTAACTTCTAAGTTAAATTTTTTAAAAAAATTTTTTCAACAAATACTTTTTAAAAAAATTTATGGGTGGAACACAAAATAACCTAGTTTCCATTTGTTGTTCTTGATTTAGGGAGGATGGGCGCTTTTACAGAACTGTCACTTGGGACTTGATTTCCTGGATGAACTCATGGACATAATTACAGAAACTGAGACAGTGCACGGCGCTTTTCGCCTGTGGATGACCACTGAGGTTCACAAGCAGTTTCCCATTACACTCCTTCAGATGTCCATTAAATTTGCCAACGAGCCTCCACAAGGCCTCCGGGCGGGACTCAAGAGAACATATGGTGGTGAGTTGAGGAAGACTTTGGATCTATAGGTTGTTTCATTTTTATTTTTTGTACATAAAATAAAAATAAAATTATTTCTTTGAAGGAATTATAAAAGCAGAATTAGCAAATAATACTCTTATTTAATTTGCTGGAGAGCAATGATCCCCTCACATCATGCTCCATGGGAAATAGGCTCTGCTGTGACCAAGCCAAGTTCACGGTTTCCCCCTTGATTTTCCTGCCATTGCTCCATGTCAGCCTATTGCTGTTCTCCACCTAGACATTGCCTTTTATGTAAACACACAGAATCAACAATTTGGCTGCTTATGGCCTTTGTGCTCCGTATCTAAAGTAGTGCAGTAGCCTTTTCCAGGAGGAGTCTGAATTGAAAGGATGGCCTGTCTCCATCCATTAGGGCCACCTGTCACAACATCAGCCAAGTTGAAACATGGTGGTGACAAACAGACAAGATGGCCTCCAGTCCTGCAGGGAACTGAGATTGCGTTGCTTGTCTGCTCCTCTGCTTTGTAGCATTGGGTCTGGAATTCGTGGTCATGAAAAGAGCAGGAAACCTGGAGTCAGGAGTCTTGATTCTGTGTTTCCTGAAGACAACTGCTTTGCTCGAGTGCTAATCGCTCAACCAACCTGAACGTCAATTTTCTCAAATGTAAAAGAGGGACCGGAAGGTCTATCCAGGAAGATTGGAATAAATTGTAATTAAATGAATGTGTTTAATCATTATGTTTTAGTTTGAAAAATCTGCACAGATTTTTTGGGGGAAGGTTGTTAACAAGAGTCAAATTCCTGCCAATCTACAAGGAAATATGGGGATAAAATAGAGGTGGAAGGATAATGGCAGTAAAAATTAAATAATATGCAACTTAGTATATAATATAATATATAAATATGTAATAATAATAATGATTTAGGGAATGTACCTAGGTTGCTGTGGGCTTCTAAATACATTATTTTAATTAATATTGAAGTATTAAGTGTATATGCTCTGACTATATGCCCCAATAATACTGATACAATAATTATTAGTAGCAGTTATAATGGTAATAATAGCATTTATTTTAACTGGTATTATCCTTCTATTCCTATTTTATTCTCACACTATTTTGATAGATTGGCAGGAGCTTGACCCATGTTAACAACCCTGCCCCCCAATATTTTTGCAGATTCTTCACAGAACACCCAAAACTTAACTTATAATTGTCATATGTATGTAGTAAAAATTCAGAATAAATGCAGTTTAGTATTAGGAGTTTGTAAAAATAACTATTTATGAAAGAGATAGAAAATAAAGGCATTAGAGAGAGGATTCACATTTTCGCCTGGCTGACCACACAGGTGTGAGCCAAGACCTGCTGGATGTGAGTGCGGGGGCGCAGTGGAAGCCCATGCTGTACGCGGTAGCCTTCCTGCACTCCACGGTCCAGGAGAGGCGCAAGTTTGGTCCCCTGGGGTGGAATATTCCCTATGAATTTAATCAGGCGGACTTCAATGCCACTGTGCAGTTCATCCAGAACCACTTAGACGACATGGATATCAAAAAGGTACCGCTGTGCTTGTTGTCCCTCGTCACAGGGACTCTGGGTGAGGGTGGTCAGGCTCATGTGACTGCCTCACTTGGGAAGCCACGTGTGAGCCATCATGATGTCACAGCAACTTGTCAAACCCACCTTTTAACTTCAGGGGAAAAAATGGAGGAATTTGATTCTCATTTCATTTCTCAAAGTCAAGTTGACGTCCTATGTCCACGGCCTGTTGCAGGGGTGGAGGGTGGAGTTAGGGGAAGGGGATTGATTTTAAATCCTAAAAATTAAAACATGAGAATCTAGAATGCTTTGGAAATGTGTGCTTTTTAAGGAACTGCCTCAGTATTCTCTCAAGAAGTAAACAATTTTCATATTAATATTAAAGTATGAAAATATATTAATGCCTCAAGAGGGTGTTTCAAATCAAAAAGGCAAGCTCAAGTAACCCCTCCTGTCTGCCTGTTTAGTCTGCTTTCTGCTCTCTGTCTTCACTTCCTGATGACGGATCACTGACTGGAATGAAGGACTTTGATGACAATGACCATGTGGATGTCACTTGGCAGGGGAAACAAGGATGAGACAAGAGTCAGTTCTGTATAATTGTTCTGGTTTATTTTCCCAGGGCGTCTCCTGGACCACTGTCCGCTACATGATAGGAGAGATTCAGTATGGAGGCAGAGTCACTGATGACTATGATAAGAGATTGTTGAACACCTTTGCAAAGGTTTGGTTCAGTGAAAACATGTTTGGACCAGATTTCAGCTTTTACCAAGGATATAATATCCCGAAATGCAGCACCGTGGATAACTATCTTCAATATATCCAGGTTGGTCAACCACAGAGTTGTTTTTTTTTTTTTTTACCTTCTTGAGATTTATTTACATGATTTGTACAGATTTTAAAACAAACTTTAATGGAGATATATATATATAAATAAAAGCTTTTGCTATAAATGCTTTCTTTATATTTTCATGTTTGCTTGATTAAATGTTTATGTGCGATTGGTCTGAGTGTGTTTTCTGTGAATTCTTTAGCCACTTCTCTTCTCTTTTAATCCCTTGGTGAGTTTCCTTTGGAGAGATGATGGATTGGACAGATGTTGACCTATACCAGTCACCTGGGGCTCCCTGCCTGTGAGACTTTCGGTTACCACAGTTGTAGAGCAAGGGCAGTTTGTAGACTCAGCCTGTTCTGTTTTCCAACTCGCTTGACTGGTCCTGTGACATTCATTCCTTAATCTTGGCCTAATGGGTGTATATGATACAACATCCAGAAACCTGCTTTGTATAGGTGCTTCCTTTAAGCCAGGGTTCCTTAACTTTAGCCCTATGACATGTGGGGGTGCGTTATTCTCTGTCACAGGGGACTATCTTGGCATTGTAGCATGGCAGGCAGCATCCCTGGCTTTTACCCACTAGATACCAGCAGCACCTCCTACCCACTGTAAGAACCAGAAAACCTCTCCAGGCATTGCCACATGACCCCTAATGGGCAAAACTTTCCCATTTACAAGGAGTACTGACCTTATAAGGTAGATTTTTGTCAGTAAATTTGGAAGGGGGGCATAGGGCAAAAATCTTATTTTCAAGGTAACTATACTTTCTGTCTCTATACCTGAGTTCATTAGATCATGATTTAGCAGTCTCTTTGGCCTCTAGGATTTATCTCAGAGTAACAAGCCAAAGCACAGCAGCCCCAAAGGGCTAAATTTATCAGTGTATTTACAGCTTTTTTTGATATATTAATGTAATGAGTTCATCATATATTACCACCTCTACACTTTTATTAATTCAAATCAACAAATATATTTGTCTTGCTGTACCGTATGTGTCTTTAAATCATTAGCAGTGTATAGGAAAAGTGCTTGTGAAGGTGTAAATTCAGGGATGCCTGTACACATTCTTTTTATATATACCTCATTTCAGAATGAAATTGAGGTAGCTCATAAGAAGATATTATGAAAAAATGAACAAAATACAGAATAAGGGAGGAAAAGTATGAACGACTAATAAAGTTAACAATAAGATTCATACCTAAAAATATATATAAAATTATAAGTAAATTTCCTTTCCCTCAAAGGTCGAGGGAGTTGGCTGCCTGATTGTTCTGCTTTGGCAGTTTCTCACTCTGTATCTCTTTGTTTTTCTGTCTCTGCTCTTCTCTCAATATTTCTCTTTTTCTAGTCTCCTTTTTTCTCCCCAGGAGAGTGCGACTCCTGTGGTCTTATTCAGCATGCTTGCTAAAGTTCTCATTTCCTGGTCTCTTATAAACATCAAGGCCACTAATTATACATTTATTTAAACTGGCTTGAATTAGATTTGACTATCAGAAGACAAAATACCAACCCACAGCTCCTTCTCTATCTCACATATTACATAATGAGGCAGTATCTCCACTTAAGTTTTGCCAGAGGTACCGACCTTAATGAACCATGAGTCTCTTTTGGTTTTCAATGTTAAGATTTTACAAAGCATCTCTTGATTCTTTTCTTGAAAAATAATTGAGGTTGTAATCTACCTGACATAGATAAGGCATATTTAAATGCTTCTCCTAGTAGAGGCATTTTTATTTCCTAACATGTTACAATTCAGCTGGTGCTTACATAGGCCGTCTGTGCTCATCTGGCGTGTTCACTGTTCAGAGCTTGCCGGCCTATGACAGCCCCGAGGTGTTTGGGCTGCACCCCAATGCCGACATCACCTACCAGAGCAAGCTGGCCAAGGACGTGCTGGACACCATCCTGAGCATCCAGCCCAAGGACAGCTCTGGTGGAGGGGACGAGACCCGGGAGACTGTGGTGGCACGGCTGGCTGATGATATGCTGGAGAAGCTGCCTCCAGACTACAGCCCATTTGAAGTGAGTTGACAAAATCCTGACAGAATGTCCGCTGAGGGTGTGTCTGGTTGGTTGGAGAGTGATAGAAGAAGGAAGGAGGGCAAACGATGAAATAATTTCTCATGCAGACTTAAAGAGGAATGGAATCGTGGCATTGGCAGGTAAATGAATGGAGCTGGAGAATATCATGCTGAGTGAAATAAGCCAAACCCCAAAGAGTAAAGGCCAAATGTTTTCTCTGATAAGGAGATGCTGAGCCATAATGGCGGGGGTAGGAAGAATGAAGGAATTTTGGATTGTGCAGAAGGGAGTGGGGGGAGGGGAGGGGATGTGGGGATGAGAAGGACAGTGGACGTTATTTTCCTATGTACACGTCTGATTACGTTACTGGCGTGACTCTGCATCGTGTTCAGCCAGAGCAAGGAGAAGTTGTGCTTCATTTGTGTACAGTGTGTCAAAATGCATTCCACATTGGGGCTGGGGTTGTGGCTCAGTGGTAGAGCACTTGCCTCGCACGTGCAAGGCCCTGGGTTCGATCCTCAACACCACATAAAAATAAATAAATAAATAAAATAAAGGCATTGTGTCCAACTACAATAAAAAATAGATATTTTAAAAAATGCATTACACTGTTATATGTAACTAATTAGAGCAATTTTAAAAAAAATATTTTATGAATATACAACCAGTGTAACTCCACATCATATACAACCACAGGAAAGGGAAGTTATACTCCATGTAGGTATGATATGTCAAAATGCATTCTACTTTCATGTATAAATAAAAAGAACAAATAAAAAATTAAAAACAAGCTTCCAAAAGAACCAGAGAAAGAAGTTTTTGAATGTATGGATGTAATCATTTCAAAATATAGACAATAAATAAATAGATGACAATGTTGACATTTATTTCTAAATTATGAGTGCTTGCTGGTGATTTGGGATCGCTTTTCTAGAACCTTCCTCTGTTATACTTCATAATGTCATTTGTTAAGAGGAAATCAATTTATTATTAAGGTACCAAGTGACTATATATGTGGTATAGTTAAAGATACCCCTTAAAATTCAGGCCTTTGTCATTTCAAGGAGTCTATATGTACAATATTACCTCTCTGCAACTTCTTCATCTCACTAGTTTTGAAAGTAGATATTTTAAAATATGTAAATAGCTTCAAAGAAGATTTATAATTATGAAAGTTAGTTCTTTGGACGCTTTAATGGATTTGTGGAAAGATTTACTCTGATAGCATTTTGTTTTAGATTCTTTGATAAAACCCGCAGTAAGTGGCTTACTTACCTGGAAGAGATGACCCGGAGTAACCACATCATACTTTTGACTCAGAGTCAACATGGTGATATTTTTTTGTATATCATTCTTTTTCATCTGTTTTTTTTTTTTAAAAAAAAAACACTTTCTTAGATGTCAATGGACTTTATTTATTTATATGTGGTGCTGAGAATTGAACCCAGTGTGTCACACATGCTAGGCAAGTGCTCTACCACTGAGCCACAACCCCAGCCCTCCATCTGATTTTTGAAGTAATCCTGCAGTGTTCTATGTCTTCAGCATCCTACAGTTTTCTGCTAAGCTGGAGATTTTGGTTGCTTGTGGTATAGGCTGAACTCAGAGATAATCAAGGAGATAATTTCCCTGGATGAATCTCTGATCAGTGGCTTGGAGAAAATCAATACCATTATCAGCTTTCATAAGTACTTTTCATTATAGGATCAGGAAAGAAGTCATTCACATCTACCAGACTTTGAAATATTTATGAGGAAATTAAAACATCTACAGATAGAATAACAATTACGTAATACATGGCGAGTAAATTTAGAAGAGTCTTCCTCCTCTTGCTGATTTTTTCAGTGCCATCTTGGGATAAAGCAATTCAGCCTATCTGCTGTGCAGAAGGTCCTCAAGACTTGTAGAATAGAAATGAAAGAACGGATGGAAGCTTCATGGATGAAGCAGAAAGTCTTAAAAATGAAAGTCTAGTTTTGAGGGGACAGCCAACAGAATGATTGTGTGCATGTGCAAGTCCACCTCTACCACCACCACCACATCCACCTCTACCACCACCACCACATCCACCAAATCCATCTCCATCCACCACAACCACCTCCATCTCTACCACCACCACCACCATATCCACCTCTATCACCACCATCAAATCCACTTCCACACACCACCACCACATGCACATCTACCACTATCACTACCACCACCACCAATACAACATCTGCCTCTAATACCACCATCACCACCAACACTTCCATGTCTACCTCTACCACCACCAAATCACCTCTGCCACCATCACTACCACCACCATATGTATGTGTCCATGGTTGTGTTCAGATTGACAGTAAATGAACTTGTGTCAGTAAGTGCATTTGCTGTCTAGGAGATCTCATGGTTATGGTGATGTCTTTTACATTTTCTTTGAATTAATGACTGTCTGCTCTTCCCTACATGCTATGAAAATTCAAGCTGGTCATCTAAGAGATGTTTTCTTTCCCATTTCTTCCTCTCCCCACCATCTACAAATGTAAAAATTGTAAAAATTTGGCCAGGGTACCAGCTCCATAAAATCTTAGTAACTGACTTATTTTTAATGAGTGCTTTGAATGTCTCTATGGCAGGTGAAAGAGAGGCTGCAGAAGATGGGGCCATTCCAGCCGATGAACATTTTCCTCCGGCAGGAGATAGACAGAATGCAGAGGGTGCTCAGCCTTGTCCGCAGCACCCTGACTGAGCTAAAACTTGCTATTGATGGCACCATCATCATGAGCGAAAATCTGCGAGATGCATTGGATTGCATGTTTGATGCCAGAATTCCTGCTCGTTGGAAAAAAGTATGTCTAACTCTGCTCTTGTTCTGCCCAGTCACTCATTAATTCTCATGTGAAAAACACCTATGAAAAATTTACTTACGTTGGTTCTTTTGCTTAGGGACTAATCATCTTAGAACCCTGAATATTAAAAGATTGCAGGTAGGGAAGAAAATTATTTAGCATATCTACATACCAGGTACTTTAGTAAACAACGTACATACACTATTTCATTTAAATTTTGCATTTTATTGTCCTCACTTTACAGTTGAGGAACATGCAGTGGGGAAAGGCTAAGTCTTTCCCCAGATCACACTTCTAAGAAGTACAAGAATCAGAATTCAAACCCAAGCTCTTAGACTCCAAAGTCCAAGAAGTTAAGTTTTGTAGAGAGAAATGTGCGAATATTAAAAATCATGCCAAAAAGGAAAAAAATACTTTCCCTGCTGTGCCTATAAATACAGTGTATAGTGTGTCTATCTCAAAGTAAAAAGATAATAATTTAACAGCATGCTTACTGACCACCTGTTGGCAATTGTGCTGAAGACAGATGTGGTTTTGAAGAACAATTTCCCACTTGGAAAGTACAGTGAGCTCCTGAGTGTCTTTGTAAGGAGGAAGCTGAGTGTGATTTAAAAGAGAACATTTGAAGGGCTGGAGCCTAAATGCCATCCTTTTCTTGTGCTGTATTTAAGTCTCTCTCTCTTTCTCTGTTATGTGTGCATGCCCATTTCAAGAGAACATGCAAGTGAAATTTCTAAGGTTAATAATGATTGAGAAAATACATGGGAAAAGAGTAGGCGGTGTTACAGTGTTCTATGCCATACTTCCTGGGAAAATGGATCTGGAGCACTGCATCCTTGGAGTGTGATCCTTGCTATCCTTTGGGGTGGCCCCACTCCCACAGCATGAGCCCAGCAAGTGCTGACCAGGCAGCTCCCTGGCCCAGTGTCTCCTCTCCCAAGAGTTTTAATTCTACTCCACTTCCCTTAGTGTGTATGCTGCACCAACCTAAAAGTCAAAAGACCAAGTAGTGATGTGGCAGGATTCTCCTCTTTGCAGCCTCAAGTTGCCAAGTTCAGGGAAGCCTGGCACACAGTTGTGTTTCCTCCAGCCGGGATCTGCTGCCTGGGAGCAAGCCGGCAAGGGATGACTGAGGTGGTTTCTTGTTGGCCAGTCAGGCCTGTGTCTCAGACTGGGTTCAGCAGAAATGGCTTTTCTCACAGTGCTGGAAGCTCTGGTCTAAGATCCAGGTGTCGGTGGGGCCATGCTCCCTTCAGAAGTTCTTGAGCAAATATGTCCCTGCTTCATCCTACCTTTGGGTGGCCCCAGGAATTCCTTGGCTTGGGCAGCCGTAGTCCCTTCATCTCTACGTGGCATTCTCCCCCTATATATTTACATCATCTTTCCTTGGATTATTTGGATCAGGGCCTGCACAAGTAATTTCATTTAAACTTGATTACCTCTGTAATGACCCTATCTCCAAAGAAGGTCACTGTCTTAGGTACTGGGAGTTAGGATTTAAATATATATTTATATAAACAACAGATGGAGTGGTAGCTAGATTATGGAGCTATTTGCACTGGGGGAGATTATAATGAAGGATGAAGAGAAGACAAAATGGGAGAAAATGTATTGATGGGAAGCAAGTGATGGAACCAGAGTCAGAGACCATGTTTAGGTTGCGTAACTGTTCTTGAATAAGTAAATTAGATATGGAGACTGTGGTGGGAGAGTCAAAAGTGGAGTTGGAAATCTTGGAGGTGGCCTATGTTGGGTTATTTTAGGGGACTAATAAAATAGCTCATTTCTTCACCTGGATTCCAAAAGAAGAGGAAGACAGGGAGCAAGGAAAACTGCAGAACATTCTGTCAGAGAGCTGTATTGGAGAATATGGATTATATCTACTTTAAGGTGAACTGCCTTAAATGGAACTTAAAAAGATTTACCGACCAGCAACACTGCACTGGGCAATGTCTCATGAACAGACCTCCCTATGAAGCTAGGAGCAGAGCAAAACGCATGCTCTCTGCAGACATCTTAGTCCTAAAAGAAAAAGAGGAAGAGCCTGGCCTCCTCATATGTCCCTCTTTCCTCCTGCTGCGATGGCCTTCCAACCACCTGCAGCTTCACAGCCAAGGCCTTGACACACATTTTAGAAGCCGATGTTACAGCAGCTCTCCACTTCATTATGCCCCTCATTAAGTCCAGTGGGTCCTTGGCTCCACACAGTGGCTCTGGGACCTATCTGGTGGAGGTCTCACCATCGGAGAGCATGCTACCGGGAGCACATGACCCCTGAAGTCAGACAGCAGAGGGAAGAAAGACTGACAAGGCATGCTGGGTCTGAACTTCCTGGGTCAATGAGGGATCCATGCCACTTCAGTCGGCATCTATGGATCTGAGCTAGAGCCATGGACCAAACCTAACTGCATGGGAGACTGGGAGGGGTAGGGAGTGCATGGGATGCCGATGACCACAGTCTGCCTCTGAAACACCCACAACCCTGCCCATTTCTTGACTTCCTTGGCCTGGGGATGTGGAGGAGGTAGAGCTAATTGGAGGGTTACATAAAGGGAGTTATCTCCCCATGGAAGAAAATACAGGAGCGGAGGAAACATACTCCTCCCAGTGGGGCAGTGTTGATGGCAAGTGTGGATGTGGGAGTGGGGAACGAAATGGAATGGTTAGGAAGGTCATAAGGGGTCCGAAGAGATAAGAGAGTAGAATGTTAAGTGGATGCTAATGTCACCCAGAAGGATTAATGAAAGTAAATAAATGTAGATGTGGGTATGAGTATGGGCTCTGGCCAGAATATCTGCATTCAAGTCATGACTCTTTTAAGCTGTATAACATGGGATAAATTAGTTGGCTTGCTGTGCCTCAGTTCTAGTATTTGTAAAATGGAAATAACAGCATTAGGCCATTGCTAGCAAGTTTGTGCAGATTAAATGAATTGTTTTGTGTAAAGTGCTCAGAATAGTGCTTGGCACATGGCCCAGGGCTTACATAAGCGCTTGTGATTATTATTAGCAAAACCACACTATCTACCTTCAGCACTGTTACCACAACCAACCACAACCATTACCTCTGCCACCGTCATCACCACCTCTACCAAGATCACCACCACCACCACTAACATATCCACCTCCACCACAAGCATATCCACCTCTAC